AGTAGTAGTAGTAGTAGTAGTAGTAGTAGTAGTAGTAGCAGTGGTAGTAGTAGTAATAGTAGTAGTAGTAGTAGTAGTAGTAGTAGTGGTAGTAGTAGTAGTAGTAGTAGTAGTAGTAGTAGTTTTGTCACCTATTTGGCACGTCGTCGACAGCACTGCAGGCTCTTGACTACTGACGAGGTTACCTGGGAAATCAATGCGTGTACAATCTCAACAGCAAACACAGCGCAATATAGATTTTATGAAACAAGTCACAAGTCCACACATCGAATCCCCACAATCTATGTTACATTTTGGCTATTGTCGCGGTTATATTTCAACAAACAACAGCGTCTTCCTTCCTTTCCAGCTGGCTGGGAAAAGACTGATGGAGGTACTGACTGCCTGACCCTTCGCTCCATCTCTCTCTCTCACACGGACTCAGTCACCTGTCAGCCGCGACGCAAGGCACAGCGATTTCGCATGTGCGTGTATCTACAATGAAATCACATGTGGGAAAAGGGACTACCGAAACCACTACAATGACTTCACATGCAGCGCCCATTCATCAGGAATTTCTTCAATGCCGAGTTGAGGTAACTGTTGTAAGTTATGTGTGTGCATAATCGTCCGCATGAGCGTGCCATGTACTGATACGACGGCAGCAGGACATAGCAGTTGTACGCTCCATAAAACCCTAAAAGCAAATCCAAAAACCATAACGGACCGGAGCCGCAACGGCAAAAACATCAGTCAAGAACGTCAGGCCATCAGTTCCTTTGTCCAATTACAAGGCGCCAAAGGGCCGTACATGAATTGCAAATTACTAACGCAAGTACTGTGATCTATACGAGGCATCACTCGCGGCGCAGACAAAGAGGAACGACGAATGATCGCTACTTTCGGGGTGCCTATGCTAGAGCCCCGAAAAGGCAAAGACCGAAGTGAGAAGAAACCCTGATATAATTGATAAAAGGCTCACCAGTAGTAGTAACAGTAGTAGTAGTAGTAGTAGTAGTGGTGGCGGAAGTAGTGGTAGTAGTAGTCGTCGTCGTCGTGGCAGTAGTAGTCGTAGTAGTAGCAGCAGCAGTAGTGGTAGTAGTAGTTTTGTCACCCACTAGTGGTAGTAGTTGTTGTAGTAGTAGTAGTAGCAGCAGCAGTAGTAGCAGTAGTAGTAGTAGTAGTAGTAGTAGTCGTCGTAGTCGTAGTGGTAGTAGTAGTGGTAGTAGTAGTAGTAGTAGTAGTAGTAGTAGTAATGGTAGTAGTGTAGTAGTAGTAGTAGTAGTAGTAGTAGTAGTAGTCTACTACTACTACTACTACCACCACTACTACCACTACTGCCACTACTACCACTACTACCACTACTACTACTACCACCACCACCCAAGCTTCGATTGAGGTGCTGGAACAATTCCCTGGTCAGCCTGGTCAACATTGGCGGCAGCACCTCCCACGCAAGTGCCTGCGCTTTGCGAGACGGATCGGGAGCAACTGGTGCTTGCATCACCTTCTTCTACGTAGCTTGAACATGAATGTCCGAGGGCGTATTTTGCACTGCTTTTTTGGACGTGATTGCACTTCCATAGGCCTACTGCTGTAAGCTCCCAGTGACGTGTTCCCGCTAGAGTGAAGGCCTGGTGGACTTTGCACTGTCTGGAGCCAGCATTGTATTATGATGCCGATCTGGATGGAGCACTCCTGTTTTGGAAGCTCCTACGGTGTTTCGTTTTTGCCGTCGGCCAACACCGTGACACCTGCCTCAACTTCACACACGATCCAAGCCAACGACATCCATGCCTCTATGTCCAAGCGCTCCACCTCACACAACGTGTTGGCACCTGGGCTTGAAACCCAAACGACTAAATGGAGTGAGGATAACGTCACTTCTCTCTCTGTCTCGAAATTAGCTCATCCGCGCGTTTCTGGGCATGGGGGCTGGGAAAGCAAATGCGTCCCCCACTGGTGAGGAACCAGGTATTAATTATGCGGCTCTAGCAGGCAGAAGCGCTTTAATGACATCGGCTGCGCTCTTCAGTCTGCCAACACCGCAAAGTAAATATCCACACAAGCCCCTTTCACCACAGTTGCACGGATCTGCACGATTCCGCCGTGAAGGTAACTTCATTCCATAACACATTGAAATGTTGCACCTAAACAGTTGGACTCGTGGTTGTGGGATCCCAGCAAAACTAGCGACCCAAGTAAATGCATGCACCAACAAGTCACTTCTTTGCTTTTGCTTTGCTTTGCTCGGGGTCAAAGCACTGGCACAGGCAGTCCCTGTGCTCCGCTCGTCAGAGCAGCTCCCTCCACCATGTTGGCGGGTAGGCTCCGCTGTCGTCTGTTTGTCTTTCTCTTTCTCCTTTCGCGCGGGCCGAAGACCACGAGGCACACACCATCGTTTCCTCCGCAGACGTAGACCTGAGAGGCGGTCTGGGCGGCTTTGTGTGTTTCTGGAGTTTCGTCTGAAAGGTCAGACAGTCCAAGATTCAGGCCCTGTATGGACCTCAATGCTACGTCGTCGGCTCCAAATTCATAAGGGATGAGGAACCAACGCAGATCCGCCAACAGCTAGCAAAAACCCGTCTACAACTCAACAACCCTCAGCCACCATGCCTGAGGCTGAGACCTGCTCCCGGAGGACGGCACCCGCAGCGCCCTCGAGCTGGTATAAGGGTTGTTCCTTTTCTTTGGTGGTCCGTGTATTGTTTGGGGGTTGTGTCTAGGGTTCGGATATGTCTGCATGGTTACAGGACTCGGTGCCTGTAAAGTACTCTTAGGGTTCAGGTTGTTTGCCGAAATGCTCTCAATCTGAGGCTAGAAATTGGAAAGACCGGGCGAGGATCGGGCCAAGGCGTGTTACGAATCATAACCCGTCGATGCTCCTGCCGAATACTGAGCAGCCGGATTCTGTTGCGTTCTACTTCTCTGTGAATTTGACGCCATCTGTCTATCTATCTAGACAGACAGACAGACAGACAGTAACATACAAATACCTACAACTACAGACGAACACATACACGTCCGCGTACACATACACATACACATACACGTACACATACCTGTGTACGTGTACATTTATGTATACGTATACTATATGACCGTAAAAGCATCTTTATATTTTCATATGCTTTCTTTCGGTGAGCTGGGAGTCCGGTGGACGCGGTCCTTGCACGAAGTAAATTTGTGAAACGAAAACACAGCTACCCGGACGGGGAGCCAATCCCGCCGGCGTAGCGCACAAAACCGCTCTCAAGTAACCAGTAAGAAACCGGTTCGAGGCAACGGAGTGCCTTCGCGGAAGCCTCAAGGTATACAGGCGACGAGCCCGAAGAGTGCAAGAAAAGTCCAACAATCTCACAGGCTTGCTCCACTGGAAAGGGTAAACGAACTCCGGGATAGGGGGATCCCTTAGAACAGTCCTAACACAATCGCCAGAAGAGACGAAACTGCAACGGCAGTCCACAAGCTGATCAAGCTCGGCACACGCAACCGGTGCGCTTGCTCCACCCATGACTGCGCGAAAGTCATTACACCAGAGCTCAGGATAAAGGAGCAACGATGCATCTTCCGCAAAGTGGTTTGCCGAGTGAAGTGCGTTGGGTGGCTAGCCCATGCATGCAGCGTGTACTTCAGGACTGCCAGAGGCTCCACGAAGACCAGGACCGTGGCCCAGACAGCCTCCTGTGTCAAGTCGTTCAGACCCAGAAGGGCATCAAGCAAGCCTTGGTGGATGACAACCGGGTCGCGGGTAACGGGCACAGAGGAACATATCCCGCCAACCTGCACGTGAGGCACCAAGTGGCCCGAGTAGGGAAGGCAATCTTGCACAGCAAGCAGGCCTCAAAGTAGGTGTCTGGGCGGTCCAACGCCGGCCGACTGGTGGTGCTAGCCTCGCACCCCACAAGGCAGAGAGCCTTCCTGAGACCTGGAGCTCAACAAAACACGCTATTCGGACCCCTACAAGGTGCTTAACCCTCTTAACCAGACCTCGAAAGAAGCCAGGTCTTTCAATCATGGCATCGGACCATCGATTCCACTGAGTCTCAGAGGTGTTGCAAAGCCAACGGTGGGCCCATCTAAGAGCATCCCGCATACATTCGACGAAAGCTGCGGTCTTGAGCCGTGCCCAAAGAAGGTCAGAGCCACTGGAGACAAGCTGCCTTGCATAATGCAGCCTCTCAACACGCAGGATGGTCAATGGATCGGGCTGCTGCAAAAGGGTGCAGATGGTGGCGCATCTGAAGTCCTGCGGGTCATGTGGCACACACAAGCATAGCCGGTACATGGCGACAACAGCGCCCGCAAAAGCCTTAAACTCACCAACCTTCAAGAACCCCCAAGCCCCGGATCCAAAGGTCAGGCGCGTAATGACATGAAAGCTGAGCAGCAGCCCCTTGCGAGCAAGGCTCAGCAGTTTGGAGCGGTAAAGCTTGGTACGTCCCTGCCGAAAGGCGACGCAGGCATCAGCGACGCGGTGCCGGATCTCGGGCAGAGTTATCAGCCGTAGCCTTGACACCCAAGTGCTGAAACTCCGGACCCAGCGGGAGCATAGCGGATGTGGCCTTCTCACGCGGCACAGTGGCCTTCCCAGAGAAAAAGCATTTGCGCACAGCGCGGGCACCGTGCCCTGGCACACAGACGATTGCAGCCGTATTCTTCTCGCCGAAGGTGAGTTGGTACCCGTGGCTGTCGAAGGCCTCTGTGAGGATGGAAGCCTCGATCCCGAGACAGTGTGGGATCTGGCCAGCATCATTGATGGTGAGGCAAGACGCCAGGTCGTCAGCCCACACAACGTCACTCAAGGACACATGCTCCCTAACTGTCCGACCCGCCTGGAACATCAAAGAAAGCACGGCAACCATCCCACCACACATCGGGAGTGCGACAGGAACCAGGATTGTCCCGTCGGAGCGCGTCCCGCACCGCGAGAATGCCGGAACTCCGAAAAAGAGGTCGGCCCAACTAGAACCGGCACGCGATCCTTTGGTGGTAAGGATAGGTACGCTGTCGCCAGCGAGCATCATCCACGTTCCATCAGAAATCGTGGGTCTGGACCGCTGGCCCGCGCAGTAAGGCTCCTGACTCCACTGTAATACGCAGCGGCAACGTCCGCAAAGACAATCACCGTTGAAAGAGATTGCTGGGCCCGCCATTTGCCGTAAGCGCGGCTGATATGGGAGCCGAACAGGACCGTGCATGGTGTTTTTCTTCCCTCCTGCCTGCAGGGAGGGACGTGTCATGGAAGAACCTGTAAATCGCAGGGCGGGAAGCTCTGTGGAAAGTTTTAGCAACGAATGAAAGGAGCATAATCCCCCTGTACGATGAGCAAGCCGACTTACATCCTCGCCCTTTGTATAACCATGCGAGAACTCCAGATTTGAACAGCAGGGGGCTCCCGACAGAAAATCGCAATCTTGAGGAGTAGCGGAAGGAGCAGTTGTGAGAGAACTTGCGGCGCTGTGCGCCCAAGCTCCGCGGGGCGGCCATCAGGGCCTGTCACGACTGCAGGGGTTGCCGAACCGGAAAGTCACAGCCGGGCTGCAGACTACCTGTACACCCCTATGTACAAAGGCGTCAGGATGCGTCAGCAACTTCCGGTAGCTCCAGCAACGAATTAAAAAGGACACCGTCCAAACCCAAAGGCTTGGAAGACCTTGCCACGTGTGGGGCTGGGCCTATATCCCTCCACGGAGCATCCAACATAGTCAGGAGGAGCTGGCGCGGGGGAGGCACCAGTCAAAGGTGCAAAGCTCGGTGGCACCGCAAGTGGTGTGCCCAGAGCATACAGTAATAAGGATCCGCCGCTGCGGGGGGAGTGGGCGGCACTCCAGCCGTCCCCCAATGTGCAGTGGCAGCCGGGTTTCCGTGGCGTACGGGGAGGGGCACACGTAGGCCTCACAAGCATGGCATCCAGGAGCTGACTGCTTGCAAAGGCCCTGGTCAACACATCTGCATAATCTCGCTGCTATTCCTGGGCCCATGCGTCGAAAACCGTATCCACAGAGGGGAGGTCGTCCATGTCGGTGTCGCGCTGCTCTTGGGAGTTGCCTGCCCTGGACCAGAGCAGCGCTCTCGCTTCGGCCTGTGCGGCCTCCGCATCTTCGACTTTCTTCTGAAGACGCTCCGAGTCCCCTTTCCCTCTGGAAGGTGGCCTTCATCTTGATCTCCCATTGCTTCCACTTCTCCGCTCCTTCTGCAGCTGCCTGTCTTGCTTGCGCGACGCGGGCTTCTGCTTTCTGGGTGTGGTTGATGGCATTCTGCACCGTGGGAACCAAGAGCTCCCCACCATCCAACTCTCCCCTCGAGCCACCGTGCCCGTCGGGCCAGCGTTCGAAGTAGTCGCCGCAACCTGCATAGACATGTAGCCCGGGATATTCGGCGCAGCCTTGTTCGCTGATCCTTTCCAGGGTGCACGCGGTTGCTGTCCAGAAGGTGACTTGGCTCCAAGCCAAAGCCGATACCCACCACCATCTGGGGTTGCGGCCGCCGCCCATGCCAAACAGCAGTCATCAGTGTCGCAAGCAGGCTGCGTGGTGCGACACCAACCGGCCTATACATATACATATACATATACACATGTACATATACATATACATATACATATACATATATACATATATACATATTATACATATACTTACATATGCATACACATACACATAGAGCATATGGATGAGGTTTCATGAAGGTTTTGGTGGTGCCCGTCACAGCGAGTGAGTGAGGGAGGGAGGAAGACGAGGGCAACCGAGTGAGAGAAAGAGAGAAAGACTGAGAGTGGGACACAGACAGTCAGAATGCAGAAAAAGTGAATCGGAGAGACAGCGAGAGCTACAGAGAGCAGACGGAGGGAGCTAGACACACAGGCAGGCGACGGATCTTGTGCATGGAGGCTGAACCCGCGCAAGACCCAAAACAAGAGGAGATGTTAACCAAGGCAACTATGAAGTCCTTGATCAGGAATCGCAAGCCACAAACTCACAAATAAGGCAGCGCCACCCTGCCTCACGGCGAACGGCCATTGGAGGAAGAGCTTCCTGGCATAAGCTGCAACGAGAAGGGTAGAATGGAATGGCTTGTCGGGAGGGAGAGGGAGGGAGAGGGAGAGGGAGAGGGAGAGGGAGAGGGAGAGGGAGAGGGAGAGGGAGAGGGGGAGGGGGAGGGGGAGGGGGAGGGAGAGGGAGAGGGAGAGGGAGAGGGAGAGG